TTTCCTTTTTTTTTTCTGCTGAAGGAAATTTGGACTTTTTCCACAAGAGCATTTTCAAGTCAAGCATCTATAAGTAATCTTCTCCTCTTACAGGCTCTCTTTGATGTTTGGGATGGAGTCCAGGGCCACTTCATTACATATACTGTTAAGTATCACTCTATACATCCCAGTTGTTCTCTCTCTCTCTCTCTCTCTCTCTCTCTCTCACACACACACACACACACACACACACGGTCTCATGAAGCCCAGTTTGGTCTCAAACTGCTATGTAGTAGAGGATGGCCTTGAACCTCCACGTCTGTCTCCAGAGTGCTAGCATTACAGGCCTGTATCTCCCAGATTCAGCTCCCATTCCTTATGGGGATCATGAATTTTATTCTTTAGACTGTACACATGCTCAAATTAGTGAAAAAAATGTTTTTCAAAATTAGTTTTAAAAAACAAAACATCCACAAGGGTGGTCAGCAAGATGTCTCTGCTGCCAAGCCCTTGGACCTGAGTTCAGTTCCTGGGGCCTACATGGTAAAAAGAAAAAACTGACTCCTGCAAGATGTACACACACAGACACACACACACACTCATTCACTCACTCACCACATACATTAAATGAATTTATAATAGAAATTTAAGAAAGAGTCCCTGTCTCAAAAATTAATTTGAAAGGGATTCTGCCCAAGCCATACCTGCAACGCTCCCAACTCCAAATGCACCCAGTGCCTACGCTCAAAAAACCAAAAAGCTGGGGGCGGGGGGGGGAGAGCTGGACTACAGTTTCAGACTCCCACTGTGCAACCAGGAGGGCCCAGCCCCAGAGGAATTTAAAAAAAAACCTGCAAGGGTTTGAGGCTTGTTTACAATTCTCACTGCCCTGGAACTCTGCAAGTAGGTGAGGGTGGCTGGCCAGTAAATCCCTGGGATTCCTCTTCCCTCTCTACCCCAGCACTAGGCTTACAAACAAGGATCGATCTCAGGTCCTTAGGTCTAAGGTGGCCCTAAGTTTGAACCACATCACCAACTTTTAAAAAGGAGAGGGGGAGGAGGAGTAGGAACAGGAGGAAGAGGGGAAGTAGGGGAAGAAGAAAAGGAAAAAGAAACAGCAAGCAAAGAATAAGTTTCTTAGTAGCACCCTTCCTCCATCACAGTAAGTCCTAGAGCTTTTAAAGTTGTGTTGTTGTGGTATTATTGTTTTGTTTGTTCTCCCTTGCTGTGCTGTAAGGTTAGAATCCAGGACTTCATACGCGGTACACAGGGGCTCAACAAAAGAGCCACACCCTGGATACTAGGATTACAGCAGAGCCCAGTCCAGTTCAGCTTGCCAGTCTATTCTCAGTTTCTGCGCCCTTGTGCATTTAGCACTGACATTCTCCTTACGTGACTCCTGACCAGTGTGCGTAGGTTGGACTGCTTTAGTGAATAGCTAGACGGCAGACTCGCAGCAAAGCTTTTCTGAGCATCCGGTGGGGCAAGTCCCTACGTGAAACCCTGTTCTTCTGGTCTATCCCGCTGTGCACACCACGCACCGACACGGGCCCCACCTCCAGACCGAACTTGGACTCGTGGGCTCCCCGCTGGGTCGTGGATCGGCGCCAGAGTAGGATTCTGGCACGGAACCCGGGCTGTTGGATTCCCAGCCTCGGCCTCAGGGTCAGTAGTAGCAGCCCCACTCTTGGGCTGAGGTTCTCAGCCCGGATAGCCGGACTACTCCCAGAGTAGGTAGCCCAGCCCCAGAGTACAAGGTCCCCCCGCCCCGAGATAGAGGCCCGGCCCTCAGGAAGGCAGTCCTGTGCGCTAGGTAGAGACCCTGTACAATAGGCTCCGCCCCCAGAAAGAATGCCCCGCCCCCGCTGTTCTAGCGGGACTGTAAAGTCGGTTCTCCAGGCGAGTGTCTGGTTGGCAGCCACGTTGCGGGGCACTTTGTACTGACGGCCGCTGGGCCGGAACTCTCGCTACCCGCCTGAGGCTGCCCCGGAAGTGACACCATCTCGCAGGCTTCTCTTCCGCCGCCGTCCCTTTTTGTCAAAGAACAAATTGGTGTAGGCCCTGAGTTGGTCTTTTCGTGGCTGGAGCGGTTTTAGTGTCATGGAGAGTTCGGCTGGAGGAGGAGGCGGAGAAGCCAGCGCGCCTGGGCGGGCAGGAAGTATCCTGTCGGGACACAGCGTCCCCGGGGTGGTTTTCGCGTTCTTTTTTCTTTTTTAAACATTTTGAGACAACGTCTCACAGTGTAGGCAAGGGTGGTCTCGAACTCCTATCTTCCCGGCCCAGTAACCCCGATGTTCTGGGATTACTAGGCGTAGACCCCACGCCTGGCTCTGGTCTGTCTTCATTTGTCTCTTCCCTTCTTCAAAAGCCCCTAGAGAAGTTTCTGATTTTTTTTTCCAGAAGAAAAAAATTAACTTGTCAACAAATTGAGTCCCTTCTTAAGTGGCTGCAGGTGTCTGGCGATCCGACACTTTTAGGCGAGCGCTGGGTAGAAAGCTAATTTCAGAGTCGGGCCACCCTTTTTTTTTTTTTTAAAGCTGAGTCTTTGGTAGCCCAGGCTAGTTTAGACTCATGACCCTCCTCTGTCAACCTTAACCAGTGCTGCTATTAAAGGCGTATACCACCATACCTGCTTCATTGTGATTCCCCAGGGCATCTCACACAGTCCACATAATTGTTCAGAAGTAGGGAAACAGTGACCGTCAAAATAGGAATAATACTGCCACCTTGGGGTGAGAGTCAATGGAGAGAAGTAATTTTAAATGGATAATGGCTAGTTTGTTTGAACATAACTCCAAGAGAGGAAAGAACTTAGAGGTTTGTTATTCACACTGATTACAGAATATTGAGTATATTCGTTATTTTCTCCTTGCTCTGACAAAGTGCCTGAAAGAACCAACTTAAGGTGAGAAAGACCTGCTCACAGCGTGAGAAGAGGTACCGCCTCCCAGTGATGGTGGCCCATGCCTTTAATTCCAGCACTTGGGAGGCGGAGGCAGGCAGATCCCTTGAGTTTGAGGCCAGCCTGTTCTACATAGCAAGTTTCAGGACAGCCAGGACTGTTAAACAGAAAACCCTGTACATAATATATACTCACCATATAATCCAGCAAATCTACTTCTAGGTATGTATTCACATGAAGTGAAACCATCTATCTATGAACGACCATAGCATCATTATTCTTCTGTTGAGGATTTGGATGGAGCATTCAGTTAGAGTCTTTCTCCACTGCCTCTCAGCAGCAGTTTGCCTTCATCTTCAGGGGAAGGAAGATTCCTTCTCCAAACCACTGTGAATACCTGAACTTGAGTCTTGTTACAGACAGAAGCTTGACATGTGTAACACATTGATGACATCCTCTTTTAAAGTGTTGAACATTTACTAAAGTTATATATATGCAGGGCTGATGGGAAGGCTCAGTCTGAGTTCAATTCCTGGGACATGGTGGAAGGGTAGAACCAACAGCTTCAAATGTTCCTCTCATCTCCACGCGTGGGAATCACACACAACATTCCTCCCATTGCCTCCTTCAGAGACTCCATCATAGCAATGGCTTCAGTGTGCTTCCTGGAGTCTGGGGGACGTGCTTCTGGCTCATACCTACTTACACACTCTTGACGGAAGAAACAGCACCCACTTTTGAGACAGTGTCTCATGTATTCCAACCTGATTTCAAACCGTGTAGCCAAGGATGACCTTGTACTCATGATCCTCCTGCCTCCACCTCCTGAATGCTTGAATTATAGGCATGTACCACCATATCTGGTTTTGTGCAGTGGAATGAAGCCAGGACCTATGCATGCTAGCCAAGTACCCTATCAACTGAGCCAAATCCCCAGCCCTCATGCCTCTTAGCCTCTTACCATGAGCCTTAAAACTATACTTGCTGGCTACATACCAGGATGTCTAGGGCACAGAATATCTCACAGATTCTGAGCCAGTGGTCCTCCATACTCAACTGCTAATTAGACTTTGTGTTAGGGTTTTGCTGTGGAAGGAAGACTACCTTGGAGAATTGAGGCCAAGGAATGTTGCAGAGATCCCACCACACAACAGGTGGTGTGTAAAGAGATTTTATGGGAGCAGTATACAAAGGTTGCCTCTGATCAATAGTGGAGGAAAAAGAGGAGACAAAAACAGAATGAGAAACAGCAGACAATAATGGCAAAGACCTTTAAAGTAGGACCTGTGTTCCATTTGACTGCTGGTGATGATGTGGCTGGCACTAACTCGCTGAAGGTGGGCTGTGTAGGGGACCATCTAGTTCCTAACACATTACCTTATGAAAACCCCACCAAAATAGCCAGGGTGTTCCTATAAAACTCAGGCTCCAGGCTGGACTCAGTAGAGTGCTAGCCTAGCATGTGTGAGGCCTCAGGCTGCATCCTTAGCACTGCATAAACAAAGCCAAGCTGGATGTGGTGGCTCACGTCATAATCCTAGCCCCTGGAGGCTGTGTGAGGGTTGTTTCAAATTTAAGACCAGCCTGTGACACATAGTAAATTCTAAACTAGCCCAGACTGTAGAGTAAGACCCTGGACACATTGCCCGTGTTACAACACAAGCTGTTGGTCCCCGTCTTAAAATTGTCTCATTCAGATGCCAATTCTAGTGTCATGAGATTCCTACGAGACCTCAACCACACAGGAGTAGCAAATGATCATGAAGAAGATTTTGAATTGCGGAAGGAACTAATTGGACAGGTGATGAACCAGCTTGGCCAGCAGCTCGTAAGCCAGTTACTGCACACATGCTGCTTTTGTCTTCCCCCTTACACCCTACCAGATGTGGCTGAAGTGCTCTGGGAGATCATGCAGGTTGACAGACCGACTTTCTGTCGGTGGCTAGAGAATTCCTTGAAAGGTTTGCCAAAGGAGACAACTGTGGGAGCTGTCACAGTGACACATAAACAACTTACAGATTTCCACAAGCAAGTCACTAGTGCTGAGGAATGTAAGCAAGTCTGCTGGGCCCTGCGAGACTTCACCAGGTTGTTTCGATAGCTCAAGCTCACACTCCTGCACTGTGCCTGCCCTCCAGGAATGTCTTTTTTTATTAGAAGACAGGAAGAAAACAACCCAGACTGTGTCCCACAATCAGGAACTTCCATTGTGGCAGAGGGGCCTTCACTACCACCAGACCATCCCGCCACAGGGAGAGACTTCACCCTCCTCAGCATCCTAAGGAGTCCTTGTTTGGGACGTGAGGGAGAAACAGTGTGACTTTTAAGGATGGCTACAGCCTGTCCGGCGTGGTGGGAAGGGAACTAGTTTCCTGGTGAGCTTCTTTCTAAAAGGAAAAATAATTTAAGGAAAGTTTAAAAAAATAATAATAAAAAGAAAAGAAAATTTAAAAAAAAGGAAAGCTGAGATGAAACCAGAACTGAAATACGCACCTGGTAGCAGATGCTGCACACACACGATAGACACACCAGCATGCAGTGCACACACTGAAACACGACAGTGAGAACCTTCTGTGAGACAGACACATTACCTTAGGGAAACATGGAATACAAGTGAGTAACATAGCTACAGTTGGAATTAAAGAGGTAGGGGCCATCTCTCCTCTGCTCTCTTGCCTTTAAACACAGGTGAATAGAGGAAATGCCCTGCCCTCCAACTGTTCCTCAACCTTTAGAGATGTCCAGACAAGGAGCCTGTTCTGCTTATATCATGGTTAGCGATGGTAGTCAGGACTAGCCAGAGTCAAAGTTGCTTTTCATGGAGATCCCAACACTGGTCCTATTGAGTTGCTACGTCCACTCCAGTTCACATGCCTTTGTCACCAGCCTTGGGGAGAAAAGCTAAAACTGGGGTGGGTGGAGAGGACAGATGTGTATTAAACCTTTCTCTCTCTTTTTTTTAAGTGAATTATTCATTCACAAACATGGGGTGGGGAGATAAAAAAGAGGGTGAGAGTATGGAGGGAAGGTATTTACAGGGCTACCTGTATTTTGCTAAAAAAGTGTGAAAATTAATTGCCTTCAAGGGCACTGTTCTGTCCTGTGGTGTAGCCATCTTATGAATAAATCAACAACAACAAAAAAAAAAAAACAGAAAAAAAAGAAAAACCAATTTTTTAAATTAAAAAAGAATAAAAATAAAATTGTCTCATTCAGAATGAATGCTGAAGATCTCTTGACTCACAGAGGCTAAAACAATTGTCAAGGTCACTTTCAGACTGGGGACATAGCTTGCACGAAGAATGCATGCTTAGTATGTATGAGACCCTGTGTTAGAATCCTAGCACCCCAGAAAAACAACAAAGAACACCACATATCTCTTATTTCTGCTGTGGCCAGAGTATAGTGGTTGTGTGACCAGGTTCTGTTAGATCTTTTTGTTTTTACATCTAGTATGTGGTGTGTGTGTGTGTGTGTGTAAACATGCATGTACCACAGTACTTGTGTGGAGGTCAAAGGATAACTTTGAAGTTAGTTTCTCCTTTCCATGGATTTCAATCTAGGGACTGAAGTCAGACAACCAGGCTTGATGGAAAGTCCCTTTTGCCTACTGAGCCATCTCTCCCTAGGCACTTTTTTGTTGCTTTTGGAGATACAGGTATTGGACTGAGAACCCCAGTGCATGTTCACTTTCCAAATGCATATAATTCTAGTTTTATTCCAAAGGTGTTGATGAGACTTTCATGTCCTCATAAATAAATCCAACATAGTTTTGCTGATACAACAAACTCTTCAAGCAACTTAAAATTCCAGCCAAGGAGCTGGGGCAGGGGCTCAGTTGATTAGAGTGCTTGCCCCCCACGCACAAAGCTCCGGGTTCCATCCCTAGTACTGGGTAATAGGTATGGTGGTGCATGGCTTGGGGGGGTGAGGCAGAAGGATAGGGAGTTTCAGGATCATCCTCAGCCACATACCTCGTTTGAGGACAGCCTGAGCTACATGACCCTGTCTCAAAATTCCAGTCGAACAAATGGTCTCAGTGCTCCTCCAGGTCTTGAAGGCTTAACCTATCTTGTAAGTTTTCCATCTTTCCTTCATCTCATGGAATACAGGAGATATTGAGGATACATGATTTCCTAACCTGCTTTCCAGAAATTATTCATTAAACCAAGTGGCTGGGTTTTTTTTTTTTTTTTTGTTGTTGTTGTTTGACAAGAAGTCTGTTAGAGCTTATACTTTCATTAAACAACAACAACAAAGCAACAACAAAAAGGTAGTTTTCTGTCTTGTTGGTTTACCAGCAGCTGCCCAGACGCTTTCATTAATTTACAGGATGAAGACTCACATTTCCATGTAAGCCATTGTTTCGCTCAAGCATGGCAGTAGACACCCATCTCCACTGGAAAGGGTACCCCATTTCCACATTCCACTCATATCACCCTGGCCAGTCCCCACTGCTGATGATGCCATTTAAAACTACCCCATCCCCCACTATCTCACGATGGCCCTACAGCATGGCTAGTATCACCCATTTAATTAGAACTTACATTTTGAGGTCGCCTGTGGGCTGTACTCAAGGCACAAATTGGACACATTTGCAAGCTTGAGGACCAGAGTTCAAATCTCCACATAAAAAGCCAAATATGGCTGTGCATATGTCCATAACCACAGTGCTGTGTAGGGATTCAGACCGGAGGATCTTTGGGTTTTTCTGACTGTCAGTCTAGCTGCAATTTTGGTGAAAGATGTCTGAAGAATGAAGTAGAATGTGATAGAGCAGGATACCCAGTGTCTTCCTTTGGCCTACTTGCACATAGGCTGTGAACACTTGCACACACGTGTGCATACCCTACAAACACCAAAACAAAGACAAAATAAAGGCCTTTTCCCCCCTCAGGCACTTGCACAGCTGTGAATAGTAGGTAGCACATACCTATAATCCTAGAACCCGTGTAAGAAGCCACATTTGGTGGCATGAGTCATCCAGAGGCTGAAGAGGAGGATACAGCAGGATCTCAGAAGTGACTTGGCCAGTCTAATCAGTGGGGTTTAGTGGGAGTTCTTGTTCTGGAAAAAAAAAAAAACAACTTAAGTTGGAGAGATGGCATAGTGCTTAAGAGCAGATAGTGCGCTTGCAGAGGACCTGGGTTCAGTTCCCAGCACCTATGTTTGGTGGCTTACAACCACATGTAGCTCCAGCTTCAGGGAATCTCTGGCCTCCCCAGGCACCCATGCCCAAACACATAATTTAAAACAATAAAACTAAATCTTTAAGAGGAAGACACTGAAATCATTCTCTAGCCTCTGCATGAAAGCGCACACACAGACACACACACAAACAACAAGATTGCAGTTACCTACACTCAGATCAGTGTTATGTCAGGGAAATGACTCAGCTGTTTTGAAGAAACTGGGCATAATAGCACACAGCTCTAATCTGAACATTTGGAAGGTAGAAGCAGGAGGATTAGGAGTTGAAGGCCAGCCTCAGCTACACAGTGAGTTTGATGTCTGCTAGACTTCATGAGACCTGTCTTTAAAAAAAAATAGTTGAAAAAAGTAAAATTGCAAAAGTCATTTCTTCATGTCCTTATTTATAGTAAAATATAATACACTTAGAGCGTAGTGACAAGACTCAACTCAGAGCGCTCTTAGGGAATGTGTGATGTAGTGGAACAAGCCATTCAACTAAGCAAATAACTTTGGTAGCAGAAAATGACACTCTGACTGAGAGCCTGTGGTTATACCTTTATATGGCAAGAGATAAAGTTAAGAAGAGAGGAAATTTAGTGGGGGACCTGGTGGCTCACAGTTGTAATCTCAGCCCTTGGAAAGCTAAGACAGGAGGATCCCAAGTACAAAGCCAGCCTGAGTTGCATAGTGAGATTGTAAGAGAGGTTGGGCTAGAGGGGTGGCTCAGCAGGTTAAGAAGTCTGCTGCCAAGCCCTGAGGACCCAAGTTCAGTCCCCAAGACTCAGTGGAAGAGTTGTCCTCTTCCACTGTCCTCTTCCATATGTCCACCGAGGCACCACATACTCATAAATACACATGCACAATAAATAAAGTGTAGTGTATTTTAAAATATTTAAAAACAAAAGAAGAAAAAGATTTGAATGTGTGAGAGCATGTACATGTGTCCCTCTGCACACCCCTATGGGTCCCCAAGAGTAGGATGTGGGGGTCTTCTGTTGCTGTCTGCCATATTGTCTTCTGACTGTCTCTTACTGTCAAGCAAGTTCACTTATTCATCTAAGCTGGCTAGCCAATGGACTCTCAGGAGCTCCCTGTTCCCGATCCACCTCATTTCCAATGTTAAGGTTACAAGCACACACAGCATGCTCAGCTTTTTAAAATGTTCATTTTTTATTGTGTTTGTTGGATATGTGTGAGACACAGTTTACATGTGGACTGCAGGAGTCAGTTCTCTCCTACTCCAGATGGGTCCCAGGAATCAAACTTATACAATCAGGCTTGGGAGACATCTCATCAACACTGTACTTTTTAATGTGGGTGCTGGGCATCTAAACTCAAGTCTTCAGGTTTGGTGCCAAGTATCTTTACCTACTGAACCATCTCACCAATCCAGATAAAGCATTTTGGGAGTACACAGATAGTGGTGTAAGCAGAAACATAATTACTCAGAAAACACTATGATCTCTTCTTGGTCATTCATGGTATCATGAAATCAAATGCTACACACTTGATTTCTGCTGCTCTGATTATTCCTGTTTAAATTGGAGGAGGTAGCTAAACTTCTGTTTAAGTGAATATCTCAATGTTGGTATGTATTGCACTCACAGCTTGGATATGAAGCATTCTAACAAGGCATACTAATCAAACACCCTTCTTACTGAGCCACATCCCTAGCAGACCACAGAACTTCTCAAGTATGGTGGTGGGGGAACTAATCTGTTTTTTACCAAGTTCATGAGAGAATATTTTCTAGGCTTTCATATAGGTTGCAAAAAGAGGGCTATACAAATCACAGAGAAACAGCCTAAGTTTCCTCATGAACCTACCTCTACCATTAATCTGTCATAATTATTAATTTTCCTCTGGCTGTAATTAAATACCCTCACAAAAGCAACCAGAAGCAGGAAGAGTTTGTTGGGGTTCTCAGCTCATGGGTGTAGTCCATCATGGTAAAGTCATAGTGGTAGATGGTAGCTCGACCCAACACAGTGTCTGTCAAAAAGCAGAGGTGACAGCACATTGGCTCCGCTGGTGAAGGGACGTGCCACCAAGTCTGATGTCCTTAGCTTGAGCCTCATGACCATATGGTAGACGGAGAGAACCAAATCCCTCATTTTATCTTCTGATTTTTGTCTGCATGTACACAATGACATGCATACCCCCTCCAGTAAATAAGTTTTATTTAAGATGATAAGACAGACAACTTTCTCCTTTTTGTGAATGTAAAGGAACTGGGGGCTAGAGAAATGGCTCAGTAGTAAAAAGCACGGTCTGTTGTTCTTCCAGAGGACCAAGGTTTGATTCCCAGCACCCACCTGGCTCACAACTGTCATAATTGCAGTCCCAAGGGATCCACAACCTATTCTATCCTCTTAGGTCACCAGCTACAGAAGTGGTGCACAGACCTATACATGCAGGCAAAACATATATATTCAGAAAAAATTTAAGTAAGGGTACAACACTGAAGAGATAGCTCAGTTGTTAAATGACTACATTGCTATTCCATCGGGCCTAGGTTTGACACCAGCCTCATATAGTGGTTCACAACTGCCTGTAACTCCAGCTTCAGGACATCCAATGCTCTCTTCTGGCATCCATAGGCAACTGCACACATGTGGAAAGTACACATGCGCACATACACAAAATAATACAAATATTTTTTTAAAAGAAGGGATGGTACTGCCCATATTTACTGTAGTTTTTTTCCACTTCAATTAACCCAATCAAGAAAATCACTCACAGGCTTGCCCAGGGCTCCTTTCCTAGAAGACTCTCGGTCCCACCTAGTAACTGACTACATAAGCCATCAGTCACATCAGGGAAGAAAACTCCCTTAAAAAAATTATTTATTTATTTCATGTATGTGAGTACACTGTAGCTGTCTTTAGACACACCAGAAGAGGAAGGCGGATTCCATTACACATGGTTGTAACTCACTATGTGGTTACTAGGAATTGAACTCAGGACCTCTGGAAGAGCAGACTGTCCTCTTAGCTGCTGAGCCGTCTCTCCAGCCCTAGGGGAGAAAACTCTTTCATATTGACTTTATTAATTTTAGATCACTTGGTTTGCCACCTGATACTAATTAAGCTGTCAGAATCGGGTGAATGAATATCTCTATAAGTGTCCCATGCTTGTGAAACTGGCATTTGAAAAAGAGTTAAAAACCATACCTCTTGTGACTAAGCTATTAGTGAATTTTTGTATAGATAAACCCAGTCAACAATTTATATTCTGTCCTTGCACCTATAGTAAATCAGTAGTTCCCTTTTTATGACCTTTGAATAATTGTTTTGCAACCTCTTGGAATGTGCTCTAAGTTATAGATGCCTGCTTGCTATCTCAGAAGCAATTAACTCTTGACACTTGAAGATTGCCACAGGGAGTCCCACACCAGTCAGAGCTACACAGTGAGACCTTGTCTCAAAAAAAAATATTTATTTTATTTATATGTGTATGTGTGTCTGTGTTATGGGCACATGAGCGTGTGTCCTCAGAGAACAGAACAGGGTTGGATGCCCTGGAGCTAAAGTTGAAGACAGTTGTGAGCCACAGATATGGGGCTCCCTGGAAGATAGAGCAGTATGTGCTGTTAACTTGAGTCATCTCTTTGGCCCACAGAGGATTTCACAATGAGGTGAAATTGCTCTTGGGTATGTGCATGTAGGAACTGGAGGCAGCTCTGGGTTTTCTATTTCTCACATTTCCAGGAGCTCTTTCTAGGAAGCCAGTGTTCCTTGATGAAGAAAAGGCAGAACCTTCTAGTACTAGGCCTGGCTGCCTGCCTCCCTGCCTCCCTGCCTCCCTGCCTGCTTCTCTGCCTCAGGTAAACAGAAACTTCCCACCTAATATTCATACGAACCTTCACAAATAGACATTTCCTTCCCTATGGACTTGGATGCATAACTTCTATTTTAAAAAATAGTTATAATACTTTTTATTTATTTTGTGTGCATGTGTCACATGCCCTTGAACTCAAGCCATCAGGTCACCGGCCTAGGCTTCAGGGGACCCAGATTCAATTCCCAGTACTAGTTCCAGGGATCTAACGCCATCTTCTGGTGTCTGCAGCCACTGCATGCACATGGTGCATAGACATAACTGTAGGCAAAGAACATACATTTTAAAAATAAAGGTTACATTTTTATTAGTCTGAACGTGTGTGTGTGAGTGTGTCTGTGCACGTGTGCGTGTGTTTGCATGACATGCATATGGAGGTCAGCGGATAACCTGTGTGTCATTCCTCAGTGTGGCCCACCTTGTTTGAGACAGGATCTCCTTGTTCACAGCTGGGTATGCTGAACTAGACGGCTTAGGAGTTTCCAGGAATTCCTATGTCTCCCTCCCCCATCTCGGTAGTAACTGGGAATACAGAAGCCTCTGACGTTTACATAGGTTCTGAGAAGACAAACTCAGTCTTCAAGCTTGAATAGCCAGTCGTTTATCACCACTGAGCCAGGTCCCCAGCCCAACCCCCCACTTTCTTGAGTACATAGAACTTCACTCCAGGACTGAGTCCCTAGTTGCTTTTCAGCTTAGAGAGGTATGCCGTGGATGTTGCTCTAATGGCTCAGTAGTTACTGATTGTGATCCTCCTACAAGAGACTCAGACAAATTAAATAAGGAAATGAACCAGGTTTGGTGGCACAGCTTTGTCATCTCAGCTACTTAAAAGATTGTGGCTTACTGATACTCTGTTTCATAATAAAAAAAATATCTGAATGGGTTAGCACACACCTTTAATTCTAGCTCCTGAGAGACAGAGACCAGGGCTACAAGAAGAGACTCTGTATCAAAAATAAACAAGCAAACCCAAAATACAAAACACAGAGAAGACACAAGTGAGAAGGCTCTGTAGGTATAGGCACTGTGGCCAAGCCTGATAGTCTGAGTTTGATCTTGAGACCCGTATATTGGAAGGAAAGAACTGAATTTTTTGTTAGATTTGTTTATTTAGTGTGTGTGTTTGTGTGTGTGTGTGCATGTGTGTTTGTGCAGGTATGCTACAGCATGTATGGAGGGCATAGGATAACTCTGAATATGTGGAGGTCAGAGGTCATCATTGTAGGAAGCACAAGGTGCAAGCAGACATGGTACTGGAGAAGTAGCTGAAGAGTTCTACATCTTGATCAGCAGGCGGCAGGGAGAGACACACACTGGACCCAGCTTGAGCATCTGAAACCGCAAAGCCCACTCCTAGTGACACACTTTTTCTAAGGAGGCCACACCTCTTACTAATGCTGCTCCCTCCGAGCCTACCGGGGGCCATTTTCACTCAAACCACCACATCAGCCTTTCTTAAATCATTTCATGGGTGTAATGAGGAGCCACATTCTCTGGAGGTATCTTGGGCTTCCATGAGCCTGTTCTGTGTTCTGCATCATTCCTGTGTACAGGTTGCTCAAACCCAACCTAATCTGTCAGTTAGAAGACGTGGGAACACTGCAGAGAGGAGACCTCCAAGGTGTGTATGAAGAAAAACAGTTTAGGATGCTGCTGGTCTTAAAGAATGAGTTTACCTTCTGAGAAAACAGGGTCTCTTCAGCAGTTCGTCCGCATTCACCTTTTGTCCATGTAGACTTCCCTGTCTTTCTTTCAAGACAAGGTCTCACTGAATAGCTCAGTCTGTGCAGACTAGGCAGGTCTCTAACTCAAAGAAGTCTGTCTGCCTCCCCCTCCCAAATACTGGGATTAAAGAGGTGTGTCACTGTGCCCAGCATCTGTTCTATCTCTTCTTCTTTTTAAATAAAGATTCATTCCACTATTTTTAAATACTTACTTACTTTTACTTTATATGTATACATGTCTTGCCTGTTTGAGTATCTGTGCATCACATGCATGCCCAGTACCCACAGAGCCGGAAGAGAGCATCGGAGCCCCTGAAACTGGAGTTACAGATAGTCCTAGCTGCCATGAGGGTACAGGGAACCCAACCTAGGTTCTCTTCAAGAACAGCAAACACTCTTGACTACTGAGCCCATTCTCCATCCCCCTTTACTATTTTTTTCAATGTTTCCCCTGACAGGTTACAAAACAAACAGGTGAGTTTGTCTGAGTTTTAAAAGTTTATTTCCTTTGTCCCACTGGTCAAGGAAGACATAAAGTCCAATTGGCAAAGTGAAAGAGGGTCTCCCTTTACTAATTTTTAAATCATGTATAGATTTACATGTCTACATGTATCTGCATATGAATGTGAGTGCTCATGGAGACCAGAGGCATCTAATCACCTATACCTAGTTGTAAGCTGCTAGGAACCAAACTTGTGTTCTCTGAAAGAGCAACAAATGATCTTAACCACTGAGAAATCCCTCCAGCCCCCTGCTATATTTCTACTTGAATGCCATCATTTTGATATATGCTCTTTGTACAGGTATTTTGATACTTTCCATCCCTGGCTATATTTATCTTGCTGCTAGATTGTGTAACTCAAGTAATATTGCCTAATCCTCATGAGGCACCTCCAAAATGAATGGATGTGTACATGAAAGCACTTCTGGGTGTGTTTATATGTGTGTATTCAGCTTTGATTGCTTTTCAAGAATTCAGTTTATATTAAACTATCTAAAATTATGATTCACACCTTTAGCTGGCACCTCTAGAATTATCTAGGAAAGAATCTCAACTGAGGAATTGCCTAGGTCAAATTAGATTATGGCATATCTGTAGGGAATTGTCTTACTTGTTAATTGATGTGGGAGAATCGAACCCACTATGGGTGGCACCATTCCCTACACAGGCCATCTAGAACTGTATAAGAAAGGTAGCTGAAAGCTGGGTGTAGTGTCTTACACCTGTAATGTTTATACAGTTATATTTAATCAGGAATACATACTGCTTTTTTTCAGATAGTTCTCATTATCTATCCCTGGCCTTGAACTCAGAGATTCTCCAGTTTCTGCAGTACTGGTGTTAAAGAAATGTGCCACCATATCTAGCATAAGATATTCATTTAAGTTAGCCATTAAATGTAGTGATGCTACATTTAATAATTGCTTAGAGTATTAGCAACAGAGAACTGTAACTTAAATACTTTTCTTTTTGAATAAGGAAATGATCTGTAGGTTGACATTTTGATGGTTAGAACACCTGGTGCCCCATTAGCTACTATTTGAGTATACCTGAATAACTTTAAGTGAATAAAATTATATTTTAAATATTTGCATTACTTTATTTTCAAGATTAATATTTGGATAAAGTATAAATATAATTTTAACTTTGCTATATGTGACTTATTTTACTTCTAGTGGTGGCATCTAGCAATGTCTCATCCCATGTTTCCTTTCCCTCAACTGTTCCAGGCTTTGAACTCATGATCCACCTTCCTAAATTCTAAGGTTGCAGGCCTGTGACCCCATGCCTGGCTTTAAAACATATTTAAAAATTCTTTAATTTTGTACATATGTACAAGTGAAGGGTGTAAATTGTATGGTGTATGTGGCAGTCAGAAGACAACTAGCAGAAGTCAGTTTCCTCCTGCAACCATGTGGGTCCCAGGGATCAAACTCAGACCATCAGGCTTGGTGACAAATGCCTTTACAAACTGAGTCAACTCATTGGCCCTCCACTTCTTTTTTATTTGGCAAGTTCTGAATTTGTTTGTATGTGTATGTATGTATGTATGTATGTATGTATGTAAGTTTGTGTGTATTTGTGTATTATTGTAGTGCTATGAATCAAGCCTAGAGATCTGCATACATTAGCTAAATGTTGTACCACTGAATATATATGTATCCTCATATACCAGAGACTCCATATGGTCCCTCTGAAGCTTTTTCAGCAGCAACACTAGCCCCTATCCTTTCCTTATACCAAGCTCTCCTTGATACCTGATATGTCTATGTTCCTTTTTTCTAAAAATTATTTACCCAACTGGAAAAAACCACCCCTTTCAGCACATACCCAGTCTCCTTAACCTCTCTAATTGACTCTGTCTTCTTTACAACCTTCTTACTTGGGATGATGGCCAACAAATCTTACATACACTATTCAATATGGAGGAAAGGAAATGAATTCTGACTGAGTCAGCTAAGGTACTCCATAGGATGAATATGCTGGCCAGCAAAAAGGATGAATGGAATTGACAGAGTCTTGCCTGACTGGAACTATAGGACTAAGGAAGTTAGTATGTTGCCTAGTAATTACCACCAGGCTCTATTGAAGGATTGAAATGGGCAGCCTAGAAGCCCATCAACTTATCTAAGTTATCAGATATAAAACAAGGCCCAGACAAATTACTTGAGTGGCTCTTGGAGGCTTATTACTTATATACTCACATTGATCCAGAGAACTCAACAAATCTCAAGGCAATTAACCTGGCCTTTGTTGCTCAGTCAGCACCCAATATACATAAGAAGATACAAAAAACAGATGGATTTTTTTTGGTTTTTCGAGACAGGGTTTCTCTGTGTAGCCCTGGCTGTCCTGGAATTCACTCTGTAGACCAGGCTGGCCTCGAACTCAGAAATCTGCCTGCCTCTTCCTCCCAAGTGCTGGGATTAAAGGTGTGTGCCACCACTGCCCAATAGATGGATCCTAAGGGACGAATATATCAGATATGCTAGAGATAGCCCAGAAAGTATTCAATAATTGAGACATCAAAGAAGAGATTTTTATTAAAAAGATGAACAGTGACACAGTGGCTAGCCTATGATCCCCTAACGCCTTTTTCCCTGTCCACATACCCTATGATAAAAAGAGGAAGAACATGTAAAGAGAACAGTGTTATACTGCAAAGAACTGGGGCACTGGACAAATGAATTCCCTCAATGGAAATAGGTGGGCCCTGCCTTGCTAAAGCCAATTTTGACTGTGGGAGAATAGTGGGTCCAAGGCCCTTTAAAATTGGGCCCTCAGGAGATATGGTAGCCTTCTCAATTGGGGGCCAACCTATGGACTTCCTAGTCCAAATGGGGACTTCACATGTGGTATCACAGATGCAACTGGAACCCCTCACTAATCAAACAATGGAGGTGCAGGGAGCAATAGGGGAAGTCAGAAAAACACAAATGGACTACAGAATGAACAGTTAATTTGAGAAAGGAGAGAGTGACTCATTCTTTCATCATTATCTCTGAATGCCTGTCTCCCTTTCTGGGAAGACCCTCCTCCCAAATAAACTCCAGGTAATTATCTTATTCTCAGGAGATATACTGAGACTACAACTGGAGAGCCCCACTAAAGCCTTGACTATCACCTATCCTTTGAGTGAGAAAAAAACTACACCTTCTGTGCTCAACTCAGACCCTTGAAAGGGAATTGAAAAAGCACCTGATCAGGGATGTTCCAACCATTTGGGCTAAAGGCAATCCTCCTGTTTTGACCAAACATGTGCTACCAGATGTTATAAAAATGAACTATGGGGTTATGCACATCCAAGTCAAAAAGTACTCCATCGGTTCAGAAGCCAGAGAGGAGATCAAGGTCCATATCAAATGCCTCCTCAGGCATGAATACTCACTCCATTCCAACCAGCCTGGAACACTCCCTTATTCCATGTTCAAAAGCCAGAAACCCTGGGCTATAGACAGGCACAAAATTTAAGAGATGTGAACACCCCACCTCCCCACCACAAGAACTAGGTCCGATGTTGCCCACCGCCCGAGATCTTCAAGCTACGTGCTGGCGAGTTCCCATTTGGACTTTTGCAATCAGAGATTACAGCAATGGCTTCAAAATGGAGGGCTACTCCATCTTGGTATTGTCACCCAGTATATGCAAGATACTGGCAGCATTATCATCATGCAATGCTTTGGATGCGAAGCCACCAGAACGCCTACAGAAAGTTCAGAGATTCCTATTTCACTTCCCCATGGTTCTTCCCTCATGGAGTTCTTCCCTGGAACTCTCTTGCTTATGAGGCTTGGCATCCTTGGAACTCTCAAGGCTAGCACATGGCACAGCAGGAGTCTCCCTACAGTGTTTCCCATCTTAAAAGCCCTGGGCAGCCTCTGCATAGCAGCAATAGAACCCAGGCATCCACAAGAGAAAACGAAGCACTGTGTGAAGAGGAAGAGCTGGAGTCGGATTCACATGATGGAGTGCGACCTGAGCAATATGGAAATCACCGAGGAGCTCCGCCAGTACTTTGAACAGACTGAGAAGCGCAGAGAGCCGGTGACAGCAGCAGCTGGATGCGGAGCGCCTGAATGACTATGTGAATGCGGACCACGGCCTGTACTTCAACCACCACAGGTCAGTGGAGCCCCCATCTGAGACGCCCTGGGAGCAGCGCCAAGCAGAGATGAGGCGCTTGTATGGGAACAGTGCTCCCAAGATCCTGGCCATGGAGGCTGCTATGCAGATGAGCTTTGACAAGCACTGTGACAGAAAGCAGCCGAAGTACTGGCCTGTCATTCCCCTAAAGTTCTGAGTCCTGGGCACCAGGACCCTAGGCAATGCCTCACAGTTCCTAGCCTTTCCCTCTTTATCTCTCCTGTACATTTTTCAGAGAAAAAGGCCTGTATACCGATATGGTGGATACCGTCTGTCAGCCACTTATAATTCTGTCAACAGTACTGTTGCCACCACAAGGAATGTTCACTTGACATAAAGTGATAATTGTATGTATTGGACTGGCTCTCGATTTTCTCTGTAACAGTCCAGTTCATTGAAATTATTGCCTAGAGATACTGCCTATTGTTTTGCATTTTAAATTTCCTTCTTCAGGCTGTCCTCAATGTCATAAAAGCCTTAAGCTACATGTCATTTGTTGCTACATTTTTAGACCAGTTTTTATACAGCACATGCTAGCTACAAATTCTTAAATCTCCCTGCTTCCACCTCCCAGATGCTAGCTTATAGGTTTGCACCGCCCACACTGGGCTTCTGTCCATATATTTTCTCAGACTGTAGATCTTTGGATTCCTCTGAAAACAATGCAAGTGAACAGTAAGACAAGTGGCACTTGTTACTCAGCTAGGTGTCAGCCCATATGCTCTGTAAAAGACCTGAGAGTAAATACTCTGGGGTTGGTAGGCCATGTTGTCTGTGTCGTAACTGCCTGACCCTGTCTTCATAGCATAAAAACAGCCATTGTTACTGAATAAACAAATGAATGTGACTGTGTTTCAATAAAACTTCGTTTAATACAAAACAAAAAAACAAAACAAAAACAAACAAACAAAAAAAAAAA